AGGATATATTGGTAACGGCCCCCTACCCCATGTCAATATTTTAAAATAAAAATATGGCCCATGGCTATGGTCTTGACGTGTGATCGTTTAAGCAATCATGTACAGCAATTGAAAACAGATTTCCGATTTTTAAGAAAAACTCTTAACATAATAATTAAACCATACATTGAAAATTTATATAAATTACGAGTCAAGCTCCTTCACTTCACTTGCTGTCAAATATATACTTTCATTGTGGATATATAGAAAAAAACGCAAACTTAACACACAAAACGAATTAGAAAAAATATGAACGTAGTGAAATAAACAGATATTTAGCAAAAAAAAAATTCTTTTATGAAAGAACAAATACTCAGAGATAGTGAAAAATTAAACAGAGAGATAGGAGGTAAATTATAAAATAAAAAGAGTTAAGAAAAAAAAGACAAAATATACAATTGTAACAAAGAATAAAATAGACTCTTATATGGCGTTTACACTGGCCGAAAATGACTCATTTCAAATCAGTCATTTGAAAGTGTTTCCATTCGTTGTTATTAACTTGTTCTCATTTCAAACAGCTGATTTACAAACGTGCCTGTTAATATGATTTTTGGCCTATGCCAAAAAAAGTTAGATTAAGGTAAAATACACGTTACAATAAAAGCTAAAAACTTGTTTTTGGCTTCGATTAAGTACGTTTTGGGAAGTAGAAGCTCCAAAAAGAGGTGCATCGTTTTGAAGGAAATGCAACCACCAAATATTTATTTACATTTTTTTTTGTGAATATAGCAAAAACAGCTTTGTCAAACTGTCAAAATGCCATGAAAAGCTCAATGTATTCATTTGCATTTGGAACATATTTGGAACTCATCCTAACTTCATTGGAACTTATTTATACAGAATGAGATCTAATGGATCTCATTTGAGCTTAAGATTTTGTATGCAAAAATGAGTCATTTGCTTCTCATTTTTCTCATTTTTGATTTTTGACCAATATGAGCCATTTGAGACCAGAGTAATTATCATATTATATAGTCTTATATGTATATATAGAATATATACAATTCCTCATATATACTTGTACTGTTAAGTCAATCACAGTTCAATATTCTGCTAAAAACAATAATAGATATTTTGGTAAACAATTATCGACTTCATTTTTAAGTTTTTTTAGGTTAGATTAGGTTCAGAAGGCGCGTGCTGACAGTTGTCAGCACTTCCAGTCGGGGGCATATAATCCCCATTGTGATGCCCTCAAATTTTTTGCCGTGAGAGGCGAGTTGCTAACTTTTGTGATCATTGTTAAAGCATTTGGTTTTCCAGATGAAGTTGAGGAGATCCGATAAGGTTGCGCTCGTTATCTCTTCCAAACCAGTGAAAAAGCGATCCCCAAGACATTGAAGTCGCCTTGTCTGCACTCCTGGACAGAGACACAGGAAGTGGTTGATGGATTCTACCTCCTCCTCATCTTAGAAACTCCTACATAATCCACTTGTTGGAACTCGCCACCGTTGGAGCATAGGCGCAATGGCACAGTGCCCCGTTAGGATTCCAGTAAGTAGACTAACTGAAGGTTTGCTGAAGTCTAAAAGGCTTTTCGTTTTTTTATAGTTTTTTTACAATAATATTATTTATTTTTATATTATGTTGATTTTATTTTTGATATAAAATCAATGAACTGTAAATATTTTAAATTAGACCGTTTTGAGTCAATATCAACAACAAACAATTATAACATATTTTATAACATGAAATCGCACAAAATATGAATTTAATTATATTAATTAGCGAAT